TCCATCTTCAACATGCGATATCAAATGACATGTAGATCACCTTGGTAAACGTGATGACATACGTCACTTTCGCTGACATCGTCAATCGTCAGAATGCGGTAAAATTCAGACATCAAATCCATCACGGCATGATCTGTTAAAATGCCCGATTTTTTATCTGTGGCCTTACATTCCCCAATGGGATGAAGAGTATTTCGCACCCAGGCGTGCTCAGTATTCTTGTACAAGACCTGCACCAGCCACATGGACTCTACCAGACCATATCTACGGGAATACCATCGGGTCTGTTGAAACTCATGCATGTCACCCTTAGGCTGGATGAAGCATGCACAGCAACTCGAAGTCTTAATAGTATTTATAAAACACAACCTCATGAGAAAATACCGTTCTAACATGTGAAACAGAGCGCCTATTGAGACAGCCCAGAGGCTGTTCATCCACTAAACGCTCGAGACTGCCCCGATTGGTGTTGTGGTGAGTGGACATTTTGTGTCGTGTGTCCATTCCTGAACCCGTTCGCCTCACAGTGTCATTAAACCGGGCCATAAAAGAGGGACGCACTGTCGACCATAAACTTGCAAGTTCAAGCGTGGCTAGACATTCGCGACCGCATTCAAATGTTCCCACAAAAATGCAGCAGCTATAGGTACGGTTCAAGCGGCCTATTCCTCGTTGAAACATGTGTGAGCTCGCTGGAATGTACATCAGAGTTCATCTGAAACGGGCATTCAAGTGCGTCTTCCAGCTAGACTACTAACCTCAGAAATTCAACAATTATCTCACAGCATAAACTTTGAAATGTATATTGGTGCTCTCCGTCAATTCACCGATCGACTACATGTTGCACTTAACGCTTCCGGTCAACTTAATCTTCATTGGTGAGCTACATAGTGTGAAATGGTTTTGGCAGCTGCTCGGGCTTATCTGTGTCCGTTTTACTTTAACGGGCCTGTCACATTGGTAATCTTCTTAGACTAGACTTGGAGCCCAGAAGCTCCACCTGTTCGGACCATTTCCCTTATGTCTGACATATACCCTCCGGCTCGAATTATTACAGACGCCCTGTGCGGAAGGTGTCACATAAATCAACACAACAATCCTGATCGAGCACAAGGCTTCAGATAAGGTAATTCTCCGTCTGTCTTTTCGCAACGACTTGGGAAGAATGCACAAAGTCCTTTATGGGCAAGCCTTACGCTCCAAAGACAGTGGCCAATCCCGTATTCCGACCCAAAAGGCCGGTAACCCTGTAACGCTGCGCTTCTAGATTGTTGTTTGTTTTTTTTTTTTATTGCGGAACCTGATCGCTTGTGGAGCGGGCCGGGGTCATCCAACCTGTGGGCAGCATCCTAATTGTTGTCGTCACTAAGAAGACACAATGGAAAAACGTTCGTATCCGGTGCTGACTATTTTTACGGGATTTGTAATGCTGCTTTGAACAGGCATCCAGTTTCCTTGGCCTGTCCCAGAAGATTTATTTTTGCTACAGCTCAAATGGTGGTGCTTACTTTGCAAAGCTAGGTTTATGGTATCACAAAGTAGAGCTTGTAAAAGCACGACGAATGAGTATGGATCCAAAGGTGTGCGACAAAATGTCGCTGAACCACAGTTAAAAAACCACGAGTGCACAAGTGAGCGATTAGCACGCAACCTCTCAAGGTCAACCTTGACAACCTTGACATGTTGAAAGATGTGGAGAAAAAAACTACCTGTACTGAGTGTACTGTGCTGCAGTATCCCAGAAACAAAGTCGACATCAATAAGAAGCACGTAGTTGGATGACACTAACCAAGGGGACATTAGTAGTAACCTAATCGAAGTTGCACTGAAACCAGTACACGTAGTGCGCACTACGCGGGCGGCCCAACTCTAAACATTACGGATTGTCAAGACTTCTGCGCGTTGTGCTGAACTCCATCACTGAAGTAGAATCAGTACTACTGTCTCAGAAATGAACACTGCTCCATCCGTATCTTTCCAGACAACCCATGGGGCGAGCGTTATCAAGTTAACCGCATCTTAGAGGACCAGCGGATGGAAACTCCAACCAAACCCATACTGCTTGATGGGATTCCTGAAACTGAAGTATGTGATGAGCATGAATCAATAACCCGTGATAAAAGACTGGTGATATATTTGTGAAACATATTGCTTAAATAATGTGTTAGTGAAATCCGTGTCATGGCTGCGCACCTCACCGAACTAAAAAGGAAGTGGCCCGAGAGTGTTGAAGGTGGTCCTTCAGTCAAAACATATGGTAGCACGGCTGCTAGAAAGCTGGGACATGTTTCGTAGCAGACTACCATCTGAGGTTCGGCTGAAGAGAGTCAGCGAGATGCCTCCTAGAAATGATATGTTATTCAACGAACAAAACGCGACGGGATCTATAAAAGTACAATGCACTAGTAGAATGTCTTTTGATACCATAAAACCTGTAGATGATATTGACCAGACACCTTACACTGTACGTAGAAGCTTAGACACGGGACTAACTATGCAAATGATGAATAAGACCTTAACCTCTTCTCCAAGTACACACCGAAAAAACGATTGGTCACCGGCCACTCACTGGTAGATGAAACTTCACGCAATTTTACCACCTCCGAAACATTGCTTAAATCTGAAAACTTTCATGTATGTACACTAACGCCCAAGGGCTCCTCTGTAGACTTACCGAATTTTGGCTACGTCAGGTTGTGAATGCTTGGGACCTAATTTCTATTACCGAAACTTGGTTACACCAAGAGGCGACCGATGCTGAAGTTGACAGTCAGTATGTCATTCATCCGGAACGACCGCCCCAGCAGAGGAGGTGGGGTCGTACTCAACTACCGCAGCGACCTGCAATGTGCAAGAGTTGCTGATCTGGAAACTCAAGTTACCGATTCACACTGTCGCCGTCACCGACTAAGACACAACGACGCATGTCTCGTAGCTGTCGTTTATCGCCAGCCAAGGTCACTCCGGAAATGGATTCCTGCTTGATACGTGTCCTGAGCAGATTAAACTGCACTAGGTACAGCCACATTCTCTTCTCCTGGGAGTTCAATTTACACCATCTTGTGGTATCGGCATGACCCAGTCAACAGTTCGAAGCAGACTTGCATGAAATTATCTCCAATATTCCCTAATACAATCACCTCACACGCTCATTAGATTCAGGACAGCAAACTGACCGTCCAAATTGGACCTTGTGCTCAAGAATTAAGAGCTCATGATTCACAACTTATTAATAAATTGTCCATTAGGTCTCAGGGAACATGTAGTGACAACGTTTTGCTATGTGCTTTATGCAGAGTATCCGTCTGAACACTCGGAACTAAATCACGCAGTCACAAGCTACGGCGTCTTGAAAGAACTCGTCGACGCATCTGCTTGGAAATTCTCAAACAGCGGTCCCCTTGTCAACGTATGGACAGAGTTCGTTGCAAAACTTAGCGACATCTTCAACAGAGTATCAGAAACCCAGCCCCTTCGTCCAGCAAAAAGGTCTTAACATCTAAGGAGCAGTATTCGAATATGCTTAGAAATAAGGGATGCAGCATGACGCGGCCACAGGGTTAAGCCAGACTCAGCGACATGGCAATTTCCTGACCAATCGCAAACATTGAACTGCACTTGTACGTGAGGAGAAACTAACTTATCAACAGGGCCTAGCTAAAAATCTCCTGGCAAAAAATAAGTATGTAGATGCATGGCAACAATCTTCGGTGATTCGGTGACTAGCGATGTGGTTTTCAATCATTTATCCTTGACTACCTCTAGGGTGCACTCAGCCATGTATGTCCAACTGTTATGCTAAAAACACACAACGAATGGCTAGGATCACAGAATTGAAGGGTTAATTTCATTCGCTACGACGAATACACCGATACACAGCCCGAAAAACTGCGATGCATTTCTCAGTATCTGGTTCTGTCCGCATTCAGAGCAAAAATTTTCCACCATCACATAGAACCAACATTATTCATGAGAAGCGAAATATGAAGAGTAACGGCGTTGGGAGAACATATGCCGCCTTCACATAAACAATACTGGCCCATCCACTTGCCGTATTCTTTCAGAGAAGTCCGTCTGATCCTACCAGTTACCGTCCGGTAACACTTATCTCTGCGCTTTCCAAAGCCATGGAAGCAACCATCGCTGAAGTACTGATGGGCTACTTGGAAAACCTAGACAATGCATTATTAGCATGGGTTGGCAATTTTCTCCGTGAACAGCAGTTCTATGTTAGAGACCGAACATCTCTGCCCGACTCTAATCGAGTGGAGTGCGACAATCTTGCGAGAGCCATCACCTCAAAAAGTTTACTGTTCTGGATGACGTTAAACGTTGGCCGGACATCAAGAGAATGGCCGACCACAAGATCCTCCATGTGCGACCTAGATAGGACCTGGCATTGATCGGTGAGGAATTCACTGCCATTAAATGTGGTCAAGTGACACATTAGCCACATCCACCATAGACACGCCTATCTCTAGAATATTTGGGCATATTACCTGAAGACAAGCCCTCAAGAACTTGACCACGGCGTGCTGGTGCAGGGCGACTTCGGTTATTTTAGCCAGTCGGAATCCAAAAGTGGTAACCAGCACGTTGTTAGCTTGAGGATGGCATTCGAAAGTTTAGATTCATTCATCTTCTCCATCATGCTCCATGCCTACTTGCGTTAACACGTCGAGCACGTAATCCAGACTTGGCACGCTTGGCTAAACCGTGACCTTGCATCGCTTGAAACTCACCATGGTTGAGCAGCGACTAACTACACTCCGAGTGTTCAGTAGACACTAAAGGCGCCTACGTGGAGACCTCATATTAGTCTACCAGATACGGAACGACCCCACGTACACTTGTTGCCATCTACTGCAACTCCTCCCGAACACCAACTTTACAGGCAATAGCTTGAAACTGAGTCAACAACACAGTCGGCTTTTAATTAAGGCTGGACGAACCTCAGCACATAGTGACTCAGTGATTCCGCCATAAGTAGCCATTGAACGTTTCGCTGCCTACGCTGTTTATGTGCTCAACGACAGCCTGGACTTTAAGAATTCTATCCGACCGGACGCATCATTAGCACTACTTGCCAGCGGCCCAGTTTAGTCGTTAACACATTTGTGAAAGAGGATAAGTATATTAACAGAAATGTATTAAAACGATCATCTATGCCAGTGAAGGATATGTTCAAAATGTCTGCCGGCATTCTGCTTACAGTGCACAAACGGCTTGATGCAATTGGCGAGCACTTTCTCCAACGTATCCCACGTGATCGCGCGACATTCGTTCACAATATTTTCTCTCAATTGATCCAATGTATTCGGCCTTGTTTTGTACACTCGCCGCTTCAGATAGTCCCATAGAAAAAGTCCATGGGGTTCAAATCTGGTGAGCCAGCAGGCCATTCCATTGGTCCACCGCGTCCGATCCAATGGTGGCCAAATTTGTCGGTGAGGTAAGCACGCACAGTTTTAGCAGAATGTGCATGTGCAGCAAATAGTATGAATGCCCCTTCGGCCTCCAACTGGGAAAGCACAAATGTCTGCAGCATTTCCAAATACAACGATGCTAGGAAAAGATAAGGCTTTAGTACTTCAAAACAACAACCTACCGGTCACATTCCCGGAAAAGAGATATGGGCCCAAGATTTTCTGGCTTGTTAATCCGGCCCAAACCATCAGTTTCACACTGTGGTCCATACGTGATGCGGTAAATTTTCGGGGGTTGCTGGTAGCTCAACAGTAGTTTCCTTGTTCCATGCAGACGAAACTGCCTCACCTGTAAAGATAACAGAACGAATACCCCCCGTGACCCAGAAACCAGCAGCAAAATTCATGCCGCTTCTCCGGATGGCATGGGTTCAAAACCTGCACTTGAAGTGCACGAAACCTCCGAAATTTTCGTTCTAGTAATATCCGGTGTACCGCATGTCGGGTCGTGTCACAATGCTGCGCGATCTGACGAATGTTGAGATCGGGACTTTTTGACACTTCAATGACTACAGCGCAAGATGAACGGTCGTCCGTGGTGATGCGAGGCGGTCAGGTTCTCTTCATGTCACACACACTATCAGTTTGCTCGAACTTCCTCATTAGTTTAAGCACGTACCGGGCGGTGATGGGACTCATTCCTGCGTTCATTTAGTTGTATTTTCTTGAAGCTGATGCGGCGTTTAAACCGCATTCACCGTACAGCCGAATAATCAGCGCGCGCTGAGTAACAGGAACGTTACCTGATCCCGACTGCATTGTCTGCTCGTGCTCCATTACCTGTGATTCAATAACATTGACAAGATTTGCAATATCTAACCTCGTTCTCAGCTGAGCTGCCATCACGTGCGCACATGCACGTTGCAGTTTAGGTCGCCTAAGCCGACTTTGCCGCGTAGCCAGGGAGACACACAGAGATAACCATCGATCGTTCCAATGCCTACGGTTGGCCATGACCTTCACTCAGTGCAAAGTTAGCTGACAGCCGGAGACACGTTATGACTCGCTGGCTGATCAACAGCCTCATGTCGGTGTGTCTTTAGAGGTTACGCTTTTTCTCAGCTGAGCCCTGCACTAAATCTCTCGTCTGCCGAGAATTTCATAGTTCCGCACCACTAAGGTGAGAGAGAAATTCAGGTCTCTGCCCTAGCAGTAGCAAGTTGCGAATTTTGCCAAACATTGGATGGCTATTGGATGTTGGGGACAACAACCGCAAATGACCGGCATTCACCATGAACGAGCCATGGTAGGTAAATGAACGCTAATCGGCCTTCTTCTATCAGACTAACCCTACAAAGCGCCGAAGAAACAGCTAATGCCCTGCGGCTACAATACGCCCCAATTTTTCACTTGCTGCCTCTATCTGTCCTGTAATGTCATGCACAGTAACGAATCCATTTTTTACATATGTAATCTCTATCCCATTAATTTAACTGAGAAATTTACTCTTACTGCGTGATCATAGCTCTCCAACGCCGACATCATCCGCCCTAATTCACTGAAGTCTGCGGCCACCAAGCGAGGTGAACCCCTGTCCCAGTGCTTCCAAAGGTGTTTTGATGAACACCGATCCCCACTATGTGGAAGTGTGGCATTATCACCCCTATTTTTAAAAGCGGTAGCCGTTCAGAGCCTGCAAACTATCGCCCATTGATTCTCTTCCCTAAGCTAGCAAAGGTGATGGAAGCAATCCTAGTTGAGACTCCAAGGGACTACTGGGAAAAATGAAACATCTTAGCACCTGAGCAGCATGGCTTCCGTCAACACCGGTCATGCACCACCAATCTGCTAATGTCACGAGGTAGTTGGACGGAAGTGGCTGACGATGGGTCGGAGTTGACCCCATCTATCTGGACTTCTCCAAAGCTTCCGACGGACTGGATCACCGCATCCTACTTCAAAGACTACAGAGTTACGGAATCGGAGATCCTGTTCTTGGTTGGATTGGCAACTTTCTTCGTCAACGTAAGCTTCAAGTACGCGTTAGGGGATCACCCTAACCCAGTTGTGGTGAAATGTGGTGTCCACAAGGCTGAGTGCTGAGACCGCGCTTATTTCTGGTCTTATTAACGACCTGGCAAGAGTTAACCCCTCAAATTTTCTGCTTTTCACCGATGACCTCAAAAGACGGCGGGCGATTAGTAAAAATGAAAATCACGATCTACTCTAACGTGAATTAGATTATATTTATGGATGGTCAAAGAGGAACCTGCTTCAGTGAAACATAGACAAGTGCAAGGCGATGCATCTGCGGCACCAGCTGGTGCGCGTTTACAAGCTTGGAGACCATAACTTGTAGAAGGCGTCTAAGGAGCATATCCTGGGTTTAGTGGTACAGGAAGATCTCGGGGTTTCAAAAGAAACAGAGGCGACGTGAACCGGCAATCAACAGTTTGGCCTTCTTCGCAGAGCCTTAAGTCGGTTTGAACCCTTAATCTTTTCCCAATTGCTTAACAACTACGTGCGACCACAGCTGGAATCTGCTATCCAGGCGTGGTAGCCGTGGCATAAACAGGATCTGGTTGCTTCTGACACTCCTCAACGAAGAGCAACCAAGAACGTCAGGGGCCTGTTTTATCTGACCTATCAGCGTAAACTTAAATCTTTAAGAAGGTACAGCAGTCGATTTCGGCTTTTACGGAGGGATCTTATAATGGTTTACCAGATTCTGAAGAACCCAAACCACGTTTGTCGTCCGCTGCTGGAATTGAACCACAACACTAAACTAAGAGGTCACCCTCTGAAACTGACAATTCAGTATAGTCGGCTTGAATGCCGTAGAAATTTCTTTGCCCTCCGCGTGTGCCAGCCTTGGAACGCCCTCCCTAATTAGGTCGTCTATGCTCCTCGTCTGGCAATATTTAAAAAATGACTTGACGATGCGTTGTCTCGTTTGCATTTTTTTACAACTTGTTATCCAGGGGCTACAGAACGTAATCAAACGGTGTCTTACTAGACGCCCAAAAAGTGGAGTGAGCTGCTAGCTATTGACACAAGTAGCTAGGGTGCAGGGATTCGGTTACTGATGAAGTCGGAGGATGCGCGCCATTGACGAGCCCCAAGTAGACCAAACGGTTGTCTGGTACTTCTCCGGTTCGGTGATTGCAGTATTTGGCTAGTGAGCTGCTGAGACGAATGAGTAGAATATGTGGTTTTCCGTTCAGGGAACAGGCTACGGCAGTGTTATGCGACCTGAAAACCGCGGCCTGTGGAGCTTTATTCGGTTGACCATGCTGGATGTCTGGGCGAAGTGCTTCGTATCTGATGGACGCACACGGTAAATAGCACTGATGTTCATCATTTGGTGCTCAACCTCCGACCGTCTTGTGCAACACCGGAATACCCATCGCATTTGAGCCACTCGTGTTGTCGTTTTTAACTCCGGACGCCCGCTAACCGGGTGCCTATGTTCCTACTGGTTGCCAGTGCTGCCCCCATGGGGTCAATAATAGACATGATAAAAAGGTATGAAGAATTTACGGAAGGGTAGAGTAGGGTTAGTGTGTGCTGACTACTTGGACAGGAGTCTAGGAGTCAGCCAAGTTAAGAACAGGAACTCCACTTGATATGATGTGGTCAGAAAGTCTTGGGGGTATCTGCGCCCATTCCTTCACTCGTGAACCTTAACAACCCCCGTCTGATCACTATATTCTCTTCATTCGTTTCGACTTGCCACTAGTAATTATTGTGCTTTCCTTTATTGAGGTGAGCGACGCGAGTCAAGGTAACAGAGAACAACGCAGTTCGGGGTATGGATTGTGGTTGGTCACTTGAAAGGCATGCGGCTGACGTAGCCGGATGTTTAAGGCAGTATTCGTGATGTTAATTGTATAAAGTTTACAGGCATTGATCATTTTAGTTACGAATAACACTGTAAAATCACCTATTACGGAAGCTGGACAAATAAAAAGAAATGACTTACTTTAGCAAGTATCCGGGGTTGTAATGTTCCTTCAGGAATTTTGATGTCCCGTGGCAGACTAGCCTCCCACCGATCATGATGGCTTTGCGATCTGACAATACCAAACCGAAAGACAGGTTAATTTAATCCTCCTCCGCTGAAATGAACCAATCTATTTGATTCAGTTTAGGGAGGAGCAACGCCATAACACCTCCAATCTACTTGACGACTAAACATGAATTTGCACCTAGTCGGAAATGCAAATCTCCCAACTTTAGCTAATGGGTGTCACTGTGTTTAGTTAATCGCTCCAGATTATTCATCATACATACAAATTGTGGTGATCCACAGAGCGGAATAGCTCCTTCAGCACTAGTGAACAGTTGGTGCGCGATCGATTGACTAATGGGCTGGTCTGAGTGCCCGATTTGAATGCTCCTGTTTTATCCAGTGAGACAAATTTCTGATGGAATTGGCATTGGCCATAATAAATGCAGCGAATGCATTTCTCCTGATCGCAAATGCCACCCCTGGTCAACACAAATAGGTTCCAAGGCGTCATAAAGCAGTACCATGCATATAAGATTAGATGTCAGATATTCTTGGGTGACCGGTTTGTGTCCGAAGTTTGTCGCACTGCCACAGCCCGCATTACGAAATTGGCCCTTCGTCTTAAATTCATCTGTCACTCTCGCTGAATGAGTATACGATTTCAGCGAAAGGAAACAAGGCTCATGTTGTGACCGGCGGTGTTAACAGCGCATTAGATTTCAAACCGTTTCTTTTACCTATGAAGCTTTTTCAACGTTATCTGTATTTTGCGAGTGTCCGACACAATGGGACCACCCCAATGGGACGGCTGAGCGCTCATCTGAGAACGAGGCAGAGGGACTCTGTCGTCTGTTAGCTTTGCAGAAAATATTAGACCATATTTGGCGTAAATTCGTTTCCTTACTGCCAAAGAGTGCATTTGGCAGCAGCAAGTGAACAAAAACGGCGTTAGGTTCAACCCAAAAACTATTTCCAGATTCATCCTTTACCCATTGGTCTAGCAAATACTTTTGCTGCATGGGGCCATGGCAAAGTTTGCACCCTGACTGAGGGCAGAATAGGTGCGTGAAGACCACACAATCGGCTCAGACTGAAGTGCACATTAATCTTCATTGAAGTGGATGATCGTTCGGGACACCCAGGTGAATGTGGTGAAAGTGACCACAACGGGACAAGCAAGGAGATCACTGGGAAGAACGTTTGCACAGGTGTGACACATGGCGCAAATGTGTTATTGGTCATACGGAGTAACATTGAAATAGCCAATGCACCGCTTACGCGGATAATTTGTTTTTTATAATTAGTATGGAAGATGGACGATACTAGAAATGCCACCCCTGTCACATGCCGTCCGGGGTGTACCACCCTCCCCCATGTTACGCCAGTGCTTTCACACTCACCAATTAGTAGTGGTGCACTTTCACCCCAACCAAACAGAGAATGGAGAGGTTCGCCAACAAAGCAGCAGATCCGAGCATATGAAAGACTATGTCGGATGCGTCAGTTGACAGAGTCCCATCCGGTCCATGCCTTGGATTCCTCTACTCACTCCGATCTGCATCCTTGTCACACCTGTCGCCACTGTCGAAGGACTGTAACCACACACACCCCTGTTCGAGAAGCTTGTGTGGAATTTTCAAGTGCATGTGGCAAGCAGAAGTCAAAAAACCGGTGGTGTTTGTAAAGTGCCGTTGACTCACAAATGCTGGTGCAATCGCGAGTTCAATTCAATACAGTTCAAGAAAGAGCTTTGTCCACTCATAAGGATGAATATTCACTTGTAACACACGCGATATTGGCATTGTAAAAGGAATGAAACTTAAAATACAGTTAACACTTAAGCAGGTTTTTATGTGGCATAGACAGCAGTACAGTCACAAAACATACTTGCGAGTTCATGCTGGTGGATCAAGCTTTATAGAGTGCTTCTAGGTGGGTGGTATAAGGGGGATACCACTCAAGGGACCAGCAAAAATGGGTCCCCTTGGACAGGCGGTTGCCATGGACAGGTTCATGCATAGGATGATCACTCATAGGAGAAATCGTTAGACATGTTTCTGGCTGGTCGCCAAAGACAGGTGGTCGCCATAACAGGTTGGGTTTTAGTTGTATTTTCACATGTCCCGGGTACATAGAGCATGGAGTTGCTGTAATCTGGTTGCATGTGTCATCTCAAATAACGCATTATACTCACCCGCAAGTATGTCTGCTTCGTCCATGTAATGGGTGATGAGCACAATCACACGATTTGGTCGATAATTGCGTAGCACCCTCCAGATGCACCGCCGTGAGAAAGGATCAACTCCAGATGTCGGCTCGTCCAGCATGATCAGTCGTGGGGAGCCTATGAGGGCCATCGCCACTGATAGCTTCCGTTTATCACCACCAGGAAGCAGGCTTGTGGCAGTAATTGTGTAGGACTCCAGCTCAAGTTGATGGAACAGTTTGAATGTCTGAAGGTAAAAGAAGGACTTAGAAGCACTGACTCATTGCTGGGGCACTGACATGTAGGAAGTTAAAGAATTTAGTGATGCGTTCCCCCCCCCCCCCAGCTTCAGCAATTAACCCACTCTTGCGATCTAAACAAACGCGTTACGGTACATTTTAATAAGCTAGACCAGCAGCATTACACTTCATGTGATCCAAATTTTATGAAACGGACAGGGAAAATCTCCTCATAATCTGTCACATTGCCCCAGTGTCTCAATATCATCAACATCATCGTCAACTGCAGTATATCAGCCACTAGAACTGGTGCTTCGCAGCCGTACAACCGTGATGACCTATGGAACAAAGAAAAATAAGAGCGAGAGAAGTGTCACTCAGAATAAAATCAGAATGCCTTAAACAAACATTCAGTGTCAAGGCGCTTGGACAATGTATTCACAACAGACTGTCATGAACATCTGGCGATCGTGCAAAGACAAGCCAGCGTAGGCGAAACAGCTTTCTTGCGGCGTCAACTGCCCCTAGCCATAATCAGCCATTACTCCGCAGATAACTCAGCACCAAACACAATTTAAACAGGCATTCCGATTAGAAGACGGCAACAGGCGTGCCACTGATATTGACTGCGAACCATGTCCTGTAAAATCTCGAGCCAAGCATGAGGCGAGTCAAGTGAACTCCAGCCCGAAAGGCGAGACGGACCGACGGTAGCGAGTTTTGTCGTCAGTGACTACATTTCCTGCTACCAAGTCAACTTTTACCCACCTTGATCCTTGCGTCAACACACATCTGGCAGACCAAACAAGACCCTCTCGGTAAACGGTGACCTGGTGTACGTTGTATGGGCCCAAGCCAACGCAACTTATTCAGTGCTACCTGTTGTTCTAAGGAACTAGCTTGGTTATCACTACTAACGAGTCGCCTAAGCACATCATTGTTGTAGACAAACTGGTACCACCCGACATTAGCAATACTTCGTAGACAAATTGACGACACCGGGGGTTTTGAGATCGGAGGTACCAAATGTCGCTCTCATACAGTAGGACAGCTCTCACTGTGCTCTTGTATACACGGCCTGTCAGACGGAGGGAAACACGTTTCGCACGACACATATGTCGCAGATTCAAGGAGACAGTTCTGGCTTATGCAATGTGTGAACTGGTTTCAGTCGTTATGCGCCCATTGTTTTCGATAGAACTGCTAAGGTAGGTGAAATGACCAACTAACTCGAATTCTTAGCCCTCAACGGTCAAGGGGTCATCAAGTGGCTTATGGTCCTTTAGCAACACTTTGCACTTTGAGGATGCAAAATGCCTCAGTGAAACGAGTTAGGAGCGTTAAATGAATACAAAAAGAATCGGTATTTTCTAGCGTTGTCGGTTCACACCAACCCTCAGTAATTTTGTGGGATCCGAAGGGTTATTCGAACCCGATAAACACTCATTTTCGACCATCTTGACTGTCTGATGACTGCTTGATGGTTTAATCAATTTTCAGGCACCTTGGTACCAATGTGACGGAGAGGGAGAAATTCTGCTTCATTGGAGGTACATGCGCAGCATGTTGTGTGCTCTGTGAATTCTCGCCTTGTTCATCATTCGGAAGAATCAGGCTCTAGTCACTAATGACCAGACACATGAAGTAACAAACTCTTATACTATCTGGTAATTACTGAAGGCAAAGGAGTGCCTTAAGCCCATGTATCTTATAAATTCACGAATGCATCTGATTTGTTCTCTAATTCTATAGGTGAAAAATGCTTGTTATTGGTTTCAAGCATAGTATCTTCGGTTAGATCAAAGATTGGCTATATAACCAGCTAAGGTTACCCAACCGGTATATCTGCAGTATACTCATCTCGGGATAAAGGTGCCAAAAGTAGGGGTTTTGTGAGTGTGAACTGGCGAAGATAAACCGCAACTAAACAACTACTGATACTGCCATGAAGGATGACAATGACGGGTGTGGTTTACGGAGTAGTCGAGCCAAACGGCCCCAAACCTCGCTTGTATTTTCGCTCAGCTAGTTGTCCTTCTTCATAATACGCTGAGGACATGAAAGAGGTTTGAGAGAAGAATGAAGAGGAAAAAGTAGTTCGCTATCATGAAGTTAGGGACTCGATTTATGTTGTGTTGATTACGTCCAGCAAAAGTGGCCCTGCTCAAAACTACAATGCCTGACGACACCAAACATTAAATCTATTTATCCACTCTTCTCTTGCAGCATACGGGGGAACTGCATTGTTGCTAACTTTGAACGATCGTCTGTGTGTGCGTGCCCACCACTCAGACTTGTCTGTCTTGGTCCGTTCGCGAGACTTGTTCAAGATTTAATCAGAAAGACTTCGATTGAAGTTTGTCAATTTATTAACCTATTAACCATTTATTGCAAGAGGATTCCTACGAAATTACTAGGCTTCAAACAAGATTCTGGCCTCTGATCGTAGCACGCAGGCGTGGGCATAGTTTCCCGTTCACAGTGAATAGTTGCACAAGTCGTGATGACGTACCCTCTATCCTTACCTTGTCCAGAGAGTCAAGCACAATACTGCTGAACTCTGCATCACAAACTCACACAATACGCACGCATATCGAGTTGCTTACTGAGGATGTCACTTTGGTGATTTACTTACCTCGGATTCTGTTTCAGAGCGATTGAGACCCTTGATAGCACCCATGAGTCTCATGTGTTCCCAACAGGTCATCCGATCGTCTAACACATCGAACTGGGTACAAACTCCAGTGATTTTTCGTAGATTGATGGCATCCCACGCATCGAGTGGATTCTAAGAGGAAGCGAGTATATAGGAAGGCAAGAGCACTGAATCCCTTCTGCAAATAAACGTGTGTGTAATGAAACAACTGGATTGAGCACAGAGATAGCTTAAGATAGCCAATTGTTGTTCGATGTGTAGAGTATTTACAAGCAAGAGGCATCTAGAGTACGCAGCTGATGTATGAAAATTTGATGTCAAAGGCTAAAATTATCCATCCCTGATGCATTTGGCAGGCACTTAACTGGGACGTCCGACAATAACCGCAAGAGGCTGTGCAGTCGTTCACCGTTGTAGACTATCTAAATCATGGTTCTGAGAATTGGTTCAAAGAGTGGGATGATGTGACGGCAAGGGACGGTGTGAGCTAAGAATTTTTCATGAAAATCAAGGCAGGAAAAAGATTTAAGCTTGATCAAAGGGCCAACCACAATAACAAAAACTGCTGCGAAACCCCAAACAACCGATGCGTACTTTCCGGACTGGCTAGTAGTGGGCATTCTCCTTATCCGGTAAAAGACTCGAAACCATGTCCCGATCTATCATTAACAATAAGACTGGGCCGCGGTGCAAGTCAACATGCCCATTTAGCTAGCTGTGGGGTAATAATACTGCCTCTTCACAGTCCAGAAAGTCAGTGACATGGCGAAGACAGTGTAGCCCAGAACAACGGAGCCTCAAATGTAAGCGACTAACTAATTCACGGCATTTTAGGCAGGCTGGACAATGTGTTGGTGACAACGAAATAGCATGCCAACCACACAGCAGGATGGTCACAGTTGATCTGACAAGCGCCGTTCAAAGCAAAGCATTCCAATGTCAATCTGATGAACGGCACATTCCATTTGAATAGAGGCAGCAAACTTTACACTTAATGGACCATTCAAACCTCGAAAATCACACCCAGGTAGAAACAGTATTATTGCAGCCATTGGCGACAGTTAAATTTGTATTGTGCAAAGCAATGAATGACCATTCAAAATGAAGTGACATTTTTAACTTTAGAGGTCTAGATAAAAACCGGGCTAATTGTATCCACCCTTGGTAGTACCAGTTACCAGCATTCGTAACCAACAGCCTAACTCCTCCACACTAACTATACGTCTCAGATGGTGCCGAAAAGTGTACAATTACATTGTCCACCTCCGTGAACAGAGTAAGCAAGGAGTAGTATGAGCAGCTAGGTGGTGCCAATTGGCTTCATCACAATAGCCTCAGTCAGAAGATAGGCTCTAAAAGCTATTTTCGATCGTACGAGTTATGTCCGCATTGTATGTTCACTCGTTCCGAAAAAGGAGAGGAAAGTATGGACCAATTTTTGTGAGCTAGTGTCGGCCGCTTCAGTTAAGCTAGACAGGTTTGGTTATTCCATACGAGTCATTGAAGTTGACAATCGTCGAGTCGAATTCAAGCTTTGGGTCACAGGGAGAATGAAAGCATGGACTCGTTGGCCTCCACGGAGCACACCGGGTAGTTGGGAACGAATTTTTCCCAACAATAGCAACATACTCATTGCAACTTGCTCCATATGGAACAGTGGAAAATAGATTTTAGTAGGTCCCTCCATCAATTATATTCGTTTTCAAGGCACAAATTAAATATCAACTATAAATTTTCAAGGATTTGCACCCGTAAACCAACGGCCTAGCTTGTTGTGGCTAATCACCACAATGCGTTTTGTATCTACACATCTGTTCATCTCATTATGCCAGGATTGATAACATAGGTTCGTTAGAAGCCTTGAACAGATTCTGGAAAAAGTAGCAATTCCAAATTTCGTAATTCAGTTCGACAGCATTGTTGTGCCTCAAAATCTCCAGCTTGATTATGAATGTCTATGACGTGCAATAGAATGCTCAATGTATTAAATATCACATGATAAATACGTTGTGGCAGCTGTGAGCCTGTAACACACATAAGAGGAGACTTACTTTACCGAAGATACAAATTCGCCCATCCGTCGCAGGTAACAGCCCGGCCAAAATGTTGAAAATGGTTGTCTTTCCCGCTCCATTGTGCCCCAAAATTGCCGCGATTTCGCCTTTCTGTAACAATAAATCCACGTTCGTTACCGCTCGGAAAGTCGAACGCCTGAAACCACGCCAGCGCGTGTAGTCTTTGGTCACGCCATTGAGCCTAGGAATATAGAAAGTTGTTTACAATAAAAGAAGTCGTGTCACAGAAAAACTATCACAGCTGCATGAAGGTGGACCTCGGTTAACCATTCAAAATCTCCTTTGATAGAAGCAGTTGTCGAATCATACTTTTCCGCGAGTACTTTACGTCGCAGATGCATGAAGGAACACAGATCACCAGTACAAAAGCGACAGCATGCTCAAGCCAACTGACAGAATCGTAAACTTCGTTCGTGTAGGACAGTGTGCTACTCTTCGACTGGAGTGCATGTGTATGCCACAGCTTCAAAGGAAATCAGCTGTTGGGCGCATCGCTGAGAACCGCACACACCGTTTACTCACGTTAGTAGGAAAGTTCAAATGTATCTAACTGATGGCTCTTGCAGTAGCTCCATTCCCTCTCCCCCATTGCTCAGTGGGATAAGTTGTGAGCCCTTGAGGAAAGACATTGATGGTCATGGGTTCGGATCCTGGTGGAGCCAATGCACACGCACTACTAATGAGTCCAGATATAGCGAAACGGTCGGCCAATGGTTTCTGGACTTTTGGAGCATTACCTCGCATGGAAGATGCTGCGAGCAATCTTCAGTTAGATACATCGAGTAGCCGAACTGGAATAGAATTGCTACCCTGTGGACAACGTTTACCATTCATGCCGTGCCGACCAACTGGTTCTACGACATCTTACTAGCAGACTAGTTCACCTCTCCTTCAAAGCAATCCATAACGCTGCCCTACGTTTGAACTAGGCCCAAACGTCATGATGTATACAACTTACGATCGCGGTGTCACATAGCCCCATGAAACGTGATGCATGTCAGCTGACTGCATGTTAAAAGCGGGTGCAATCTCTCAATAGTGGGCCATAAGCTATCCGTTCACTTAGAATCAAACTGCTGATCTCATATGACCGCGTTTTTGTATATTCATAATTGCTGTATTATTTGTGATTGAGGAGCTTGTACGAAATGAATGAGTCATCTCGCAGTCTGCGTCTTCTGATTTTTCTGTTTGGGATTATAAAGAGAAATTCCTCTTTCAAGTAAATTTTTTATTCTCGACTAAGTGAGTCACGCCCGCACAGACCTGATCATGGTAACAGTACTACAAGGGAGCAAGGAATGTACAATAATATAAAAGGATTGTCATATATGTTGATACATGAATGCATCTATGTGTGTGTGTAGACGTGTGTAGCTGTGTTGCTTGGCCTTGTAAGTTTTACTGCACTTGTGCTTGTGTTCGAGCGTGTCGCCAGTGCTAAAGGGATGTTTGACGTCCGTGGATTTGAAACGAGTGTACGAATATGCAAGGGGCGGTGACGTTAAATGGTGTCGAGTCACAACCGCCAAGTCACTTTGTTGTTAAACGGCTATTTGTGGCTTTTTAAAGGTTTTAAGTATGGCACGCAGCCAATAGACGGAGCAGAACGCGCACGCGTAGTACGGAACCGTTTAATGAACGCATGCTAAGTTACAGTGGCTAGAAATGCCGAAGCGAAAAGCCAACAAAATAAGGAAGGCAAGGCAAGGTAATTGTCAACCAATAACGTGAGCGCTTGTGTTCGCGATCAATAATCAGCTGAAAAGGTGACACCCCTCTCTTCCTTGGTAAAGACTGCAGGCTCCGGGTTGATAAGATCAACTGGCTTAGCGTGCTTTTTGAGCCTCTTAGTTGGGATTGCTCCGCACCCATTTGCGGATCATGATTTAGTGAGGCAGATTCCCCATCCGTCTTTGTGTCAGTAGCAGAAGATTTTTGATCCCGTGCTCGTGGTTCGATTGAGCGTGGCCGGGTATGATCAAAATGACAGCGCACCACACAGTCGTCCTCCAGCTGTAGCTCCGCTTGGTTAATCGTTGAGAATAGAAGTGTAACAGGTTGCCAGTGTGCTTCGTGAGGCAAGCTTGTATATACTGGGTCAGAATCAGTAAGACACGTTTCCTTTGGCATCTTGTCATCCACACACATCGTCTTCTGATTTGTCTCCATTCTTCTCTTTTGGTTCGGAAAAAGTAGGTGCAATCTCGATCGTAGTGACCGGCCAATCATTAACTCCGCGAGAGAGTTCCCTGTCGACTCAGTCGGTGTCGTGCGATAAGATAACAGGAGACGACCTAACTTAGTTTGTAAACTTCCGTGCGCCAGCTTGTGGAGACTTTGCTTAACAATCGGGATTGCATGTTCTGCCATTTAATTCGACACGGAATGGTACGGCGCAGACTTGGTGTGCTGTATTTCATTGTTACTCAAGTACTGTTGAAACTCTTCACTGGTAAATGGGGTTCGGTTGTAGGTGCATACAGTCTTTGGAATATCAAAAATGGCGAATATGTAGCGCATTTTTGCAACAGTTGCTGCGGAACTCAAACTTGGAACTGAATGTATTTCTACTCATATAGAAGGGGAACTAACCAAAAGTAGACACATCATCTCATTGATCGGGCCAAAGTAGTCCGCCTATATCGGCTGCCAGGGCCTCTCCGGCCAACGCCGTAGATGTATCGGTCCGGGAGCTTTTCCTCTTTGGTATTTCTGACATGGTTCGCACTTTTTCATCAGCCGCTCTACATCCTGGTTTATGTTCGGCCACCAATAGTAACCCCTTGCCAGCGCTTTCATCCCGTTTACATCGGGGTGTGAGTCATGCAGGTGTCTCAGCAACTGGTGCCGTAGTTCTTTTTGTGGAACTATGGGAGAGCCCCGAAATATACAGCCGTGGTATATACTCAACTCATTACTCCGACAGGCGTAGTGTTTCAGTTCGTCTGATGTGCTTGTAGGCCATCCGGTTATCAAGAACTGTTACACCATCGACAACACAGGGTTGCCGCCGTCAGGCGCTGCACCCCGTCAATCCGGAGTGGTGCTTTTCAAGGTCTTGCATCAGATTGATAAACTCCATGGGTTCACCGTTCGTTTTTGTATCATGCCGCTGCGAGAAGCAACTAGGTGCATCGGCAATAGTATTACTATATCCGTATACAGACTGCATTTGTATTTATAGAGGCTCGTAAGTAGTTTCCACCTTTGAATTCGAGGCGCAAACATCAGATTGGTTCATTTTCCTCAGGCAGCAGCGAAAGAAGTGATTTACGGTAGTATGGATATCGAACTGTCTTCCCCAAACCTACTGGTTGAAATGCATGATTCCGCAAGTAATCTCTAAGGTCTGTCAGTCCAGTAGGGAGTAATTATTTTCACCGGATTGCAGGGCGCGAGAAGCAAAAGCGATTGGACGAAAAGAACCTTCATCCATCCGGTGGCAAAGGACAGCGCGTACTCCGTGTGGGGAAGCATCACAATGCAGCACCTGAGGCCGGCTCAGATGGGAACGCACGAGATACGCGGAGGCGCTGAGCACACTTTTTGCATTTGTGAAGGACTTTCTTTGATTCGGATCCCAAGTCCAGGACTTCGCGATGTGGAAATACTGTTGAGGCGTTAGGTAAAAAACGATGATATTGAGAAAACATCCCTAGAAGTGATTGGAGTTCAGCTTCATTCTTAGGCTCAGGTGCGACAAGGATGGGGTTGGCATTCGCTTCCAAGACATATAATCCATTTTTATCTAGCTGTAACCAAGGTAAGCAACAGAATCTGAGTAAAATGTACTCTTGGATTACTTCATTTTGAGTCCACTCTGTTGTAGATATTCGAGCAAAGTGGATAGCTTTTGTAAATGTTCAGCATCTGTACGTGCTATATTTAGCATATCGTCAAGATTGGTGCAAGTGAAAGGAATATCTTGGATCAGGTTATCAATAATCCTTTGGAATATCGAAGTGCATGAACGAGGGGTCTCGTCTAACTCAACTTGTAAGTATGCGTGACTGAGGTCCATCTGTGTAAACTTTTGTCCGCCTGCCAGCGCAGCATACAGATCCTCTATCCGAGGTAAGGATATTTATCCGGAATTAAACAACGATTTACAGTTAGTTCATGGTCATCAAAACTACGCACAGAATCATCGGCTTCAGGAGTTGAACTATTGGAGCTCCCCACCCACCGTATTTGACTGGCTAGATTGTTCTTGCTGATTGCAATCTCTTTATCTTGTCTTTATATTTTTATATCAAGGAATAAGGCAGGGTACGTGCCCTGTAAAAGCGGAGCTGACTTCCTGGCCGTAATTTGATACTAGCCTGATATCCGTTCAGAATATTTGTTGCGCACATCCTCCGAGCTCTGGTTAATGGACTTGAACTTCCCTGTCTCTAGCATAGCCGGGAGGCATTTAATCCAGTCGCGTCCAAGTAACTTGGGACTATCATCTGCCACAACCAATATCTGTAAGGTCTGCTTCTCCCTATGAGAAGTAACATGAACAGTGCACTTTCCCGGAACTGATATTGGCTGGCCGGTGTACGTCCGCAAACTTGAATCACAGGAGAATAACTTGGGTAATCTTTTAACTGACGCAACATTGATTATGGTAACTGAGAGAACGGCAGCAACTTCCATTTCAACCAACTGGTCTACTATTTCCAACTGCATAGTGTATGGTGAATTAATACTACAGATGCTCGATGTTGCCTTCCAAATCGTGTTTAGCTGGTCATTTACATCTGAAGGCTGGACGAACTTCAGGTCTTCTTGGGAAATCGCGAAGTTGCAGCTGTGCCAGCTTTAATTGGGCAGACTCGGGCCAAGCGCCCTAATTTTCCCCATTGGCGGCAGACACTGTTTATGGTGACATTCCTCGGCCTATAAATGCTGATTTCCACATCGGCAACGTAAAAGGTAACATTTTCGGTTGATTGCTTGGATTGTGTCGGTATGAGGTTGCTGGGAAAAATCCGCTAATTGTTTATTGACATTCTCCAGCTGCCGAGTAATTTTGCAGGACATCTCCCAGCCAGTCGTCGTCTCATCTTCAGACAACAGTGTTTCACGAGCCTGTTGGTTACGGATACCGGATATCAAGCACTGTAAAGCCATCGCCGCTTCAAACCTCATGGCTGGGATTTCACTATACCGACACAGCTAGGGCTTGCTGAA